AACACTTTTGACCGTTACTGTAGCTTACTGGTCAAATTTTGCTGGACTGACCCTTCCATCGTAGTAGTGGAAAATTCCTGTGACAATATCACTGATAATATCAAAAACATAAGTGACCATTGCGAAAATGAAACAAATCAAATCGAATCGCCGCACTACAGGTTGACGTGGCACTTGATCGGGCTGCTCTTCAACGACATCCGAACCTTCTGAAATGATATTGATCATCGGGAACCATCTCATGACCACTCTTCCCTCGCATGATTTTTGCTTTGTTATAAAGATTTCAGCGACCAAGTGGCTTTCTAATAAAAGCCGTGTGGGACCGCCCATTTTCTAATTTTCCATCCCTTCAAAAAGCCAGAAAGTGTCGGGTGCAGACCATACACCACAAGTGACGACGGCCTCCACAAAATGTAAATGTTTTCTGCCAATGAAATGATTAGCCTGTTGCAGTTGTATTCTATCAGTTGTCACTAATTACAACTATCATTTACCAAAAATCAGCTATCACTATGAACCACTACTAACCAGATTTACTTGGAGGCCGTCGTCACTTGTGGTGTTGGTCTGCACCGACACTTTCTCGCTTTTTGAAGGGGAGGGTACGAGAAAAACATCTTATGTTAGCTCTGTATGCACCACCACATCCACCAAGACTTATTTCAAAACTGCACCAGCTCAACATCGAAACTGTTAAGTCTTTTTCTATACCAATCATTTTCAGACGAAGCAGAAAACTATTCGATCAAATAAACATTCTTGATTTGGCTGGAGAACGTAGTTTTCCGCTCCAGAATCCATAAATGGATATATCAGTACGCTAGCTAGATTACTGCGACCAATGCAGCCTTATACACTTTGAAATAACAATTACTACTCAGAGGAGGGTTCCGGATTAATCGAGTACAAGGCCAAAGGTTGAAGAAGGAAAAAGCAGAGTGGCAAAAAATTATGTGCGCGTGACATTTCACTTCTTTTTAAACATTTGATGAGAATAATATGCGTACTTTTTCCAGAATATTTGTCGGTTCTTGGTTATTGGTTTGTAGACGGGAACATTTGTTTTCCAAGTTCTGACGAAGACGCGACTGCACGGCAGGCAAAGAGCTGGACTGAAAGCTCAACGATCTCTTCAAAGCTCACTGCTTCTCTAAGAGCCGTCCCAAAAACTGTAAATCGTTGGAGAGGGAAAGGCCGGATTTCAGCTAAATCCGTAAGGGAATGAGAGCGGAGCATCAGCATCCGATGGGTGTAGAGAATCATTTAGAAAAAGAATGACAAAAAAAATCACCGAAGGTTGAAAAGGAGCGCGAAACAGCTCGGAAATACTCAAAATTTATTCGAACAAGAGGTTTTTTTAAGCTGCAGCGATCCTTGGGAGCTCGTATTTCACAGGAAAACGTTCAGCGTCCAATCGGCTAAAAAGTCGCGGAGATGCCTCCGGCTATCGAGTGATTCGCAAGCCCTGACACTCCTTTCACTTTCCACCCAACTCTTGTATTTCAAAATTTCGTTCCTGGAAACTTAGATGATTTAGGGCTGTACCAGTGCTGAAAAGCCTTCATAAGTTTTGAGCGATAAAAGCGTGAAAAACAATGAGAAGGTCTATCACGAGATCTCCAAGAATGCTGTGGTCCCTTGGGAGTGAAGTCGTCAAAAATCGTATTTTCTTGTAGAAATGGGCACCGGCCCATTAGCGATACAACTATTCAATTCTTCGGACCAGTATCAGCTCTCTTTTGGCGATGGATTTGTGGGCTGCTTACAATCCGATGCGTATCCATTGGACTTGTTTGTTTGTGGCTGGCTTGACTGAAGGGCTACTCAGGAATCGCAATGCAAAAGTCTGATATCCTCCAGAACAAATGTCCAGATTTCAGTAAATTAGACGTTGACACCGCCGCACCAACGATTCTTTGAAAAGACAAATTAGGGCCTGCATCAAAACTATGGCGGCCACTTCGGAACTTCTCCGCAATTATAAAATATCATGCTTCGATAACTGATAAAACTAATTACTTCCAAATTTTTGCGTGTAAAAATAAGGTTTGGACGTTTTCTATGTAGCACGTAGTTTTTCGCCAACCAAAATACCAATTTGAAAGGCAGGCAAGCTCCAAGGGTGTGGGACTATGCGCGTTTCGCAGCGAAGAGTATGCCCCCAGTGGCCATGTTTGCGCCGCAGCACGCTCACCTTCTCGCCGTCGACTCTAGCCGTTAAGTAGAAAGCGCGTTAGCTTGAAGAGGGCAGCGCCGATGAGAGTTACATCAATGCGGGAATTAACAAGCAGAGAAGAGGTTCTATTTATCGCACTTAGAAAAATATTGAATTGGCACACAAAAGTGAGGGATCCGCTGTTATCTTCTTCAGTTCTAGGGAACTTAGTAAGCGCGTGTTCCTCGAATAGAGGCTAATTTCAGAGATATTCGTTGTTATTCCACTATTTCGGATTTCTTCCGAAGGAACTATCCATCGGATTATTTTTCGGATCATTTACCACTTTGACACAATTTGTGCCAACCCAACGGTCTGTAACGAAACGGTTCTTTCGGGAAGCACGCTTGGAGCCGTTTTTCTGCTACGTTGAGATCGGGCAGCGTTGTCAAATCTGTCGCTTCAGAGAAGTAAAAAAGTGCACTAAACGGAACACGACGTGCAAGTAAATAAATGATCAGCAAGTCGTAAACAGCTTTTACAGATCGGCTGCTATATTATTCTGTACAGACTAATAAACACTTGTCTGGGATTTGTTTACTAGCTTTTATGGATTTTTTTGATTACTCGAGACCATTTCATTTCCGCTGTATTTGGACGACGCGTTTGAGGGTATACAGAACAAAACGTGGACACTGCGGTATACGCTGAGGAAAAATCCAGATTTCCTAACAACTGACCTTGATCGAAGGCGTAGCAATTGCTTGTCAAGTATATGAGTTTTGCGGGGCGTTTCTCGAACATATCCACTTCACATTCGTTACAAATGAATTGAACAAACTTTCTGGAAGAAAAGTAAATCTAGCAAGGAAGTGCTATTAATACAATCCAAATGACGGCTCAACAGCAGATGAGGTGCGACTCCTCATATTGATTGACCCATATTATGGGTGGTAAAGTAATCAATGGCTTGGAACGGGTGCAGATCGATCCGGAGTTAGTAAACAAATCAGCAGTAAAGTTTTGAACATTATTACGAAGCAGCAGACTACAGTGAGAATTGGTTCTTGTAGTGGTTGCTATTGTCCATGAGAGGCTCTGCACATCATTCGAGGGTTAGTGTTGAAAGAATTATCATAAAACTTCTCAAGCAAATGAATAATAAATAAACAAACAAGCTAACAATAAAGCACCACGCGGACTTGATTTATTATGAAAAATCCAACAGAGGTGAGGAACTGGTGTGGAGTTTACTGAGAAAGCCAAACGTACAGTGTTTGCATTTCTGTGGCGCTTAGACACACACGAGGTAAACATCAAGAGGCAGGATAGACTGCAATGGCTTGGCGATTATGGCCTCTCACTTCTGCTCTCGACCCCTCTCACATATGTATGTTTATAGCGTTCTTATAATTTACTTCAACTAATTATTCGATGAAAGCTTCCAAATGTCCAGAATTCGTACAATTTTTTGTGCTCGTAAGCCTAGGGAAAGTACTGCTGAAAATTTTAAAAAATTTCATATGTTAGCTCAGCGTTGAAAGTTGTTCACACAGAGCTATCGTTCCAAGTTTTTGTTCCAAAGCTCTTTTCTGGGACTTAATCAAGAATTTAAGAGGTGCAGTTACGTACTCGTACTAATGTCGTAGACATAAGCGGAGGCTATTTTGCCCAAGATCAATTTCTACCTTCTTTCGAATCTTTCACTCACATTTTCTCGGAGAGGAAGTTGTTTTCACCCTGGCCCAATCCTTTTTGTTTGAACTCAAAAAGATTATTCGTTAGCTTACACGAGGGAAAGGGGGGGGGTATCCTGTTTCAGGAAAGGAATGTACGCTTACGGTGACAAGGCTATGCAGCGTTTCAGAAAGGTGCTGGCAGCGCTGACGACAAAAGCTGTTTTTCAGCCAAACTGAGAAATGACTTTGGCGATCAGAAATATGTTGACCAATTCGAAATGACATCAAAATAGCGGCGAGAAGAGCTGCAGTTTATGATTAAGCTAAGTTATGTACAAAAAATACGGGAATTATAAAGCCAAGTGTTCATCAAAAAAACCACACTTAGGTGACATCGCCCCATCACAACCTTTCGCATACGTGCATAGGGCCTTGCAATGATCGTAATGAAGTGATGGTTGTTGTGATCTTCATTCTCCCAGATATAAGTGTCTTGCAGTCATTCAAAGATCGAGTCTGAAGTCACTTTTTGAAATCAGTGGCTGGTGGTGTTGCGTGTATTCGTACACAGGAGCGCCTCTGGTACTGGAATGTTTGTGTGTGATTATGTAGTGATCGTGGACTCTTCGGGGACGCCTGGGCTTGTGTGTGAGTGTGAATGGTATGTTTTCTGCAGTCGCTGATGTGGTGACGTCGCAGGGAGTAGTCAACCCTATGTTGCTACAAGTAGCAACGGGGGTCGTAGTTTGTTGAAGTTTGTGGTGGGGGGTCGTACTTGTTTCGGTAGCGCGAAATTACATGTGATGAGGTGAGAGCGCGCGGGAGAAAATTTGCCGTTTCAGCGTGCGTATATACCCTCCTAGAAAATGGGTGGTGGAAATAGGTGAAAAAGAGGGAAATTGGGGGGAAAATGAAGGTGTAAGTATAGGGAAACTTTACGGTTTCATGGTAGTTAATACCCACCTCTCGACCGGTGTTTTTTGAGGAAGTGGCTGTGAAAAGGGGGTCGTGTGAAACTTCTCGTGAAGGAGGGAGGTCGTAACAATTTTGCAAAAAGTACCAACGATACGACCGACCCTGCTGAGGAGTTCACTATGAAGACTCTAGAGTGCAGGAAGCACAAAGCAGGAAAAGCAGGAACTTTCAGGGTCGTTGAATCCTGGTAGGCGACATTGTTAGTGCTTTCCATTTCTTTGATTACCTTAAAGAGAAATTATGGTGACGCAACGGTTACTAACTGCAAATTCCTTCGGAGACTATCGATTTTGCAAAAACTACAAGAAATGTTGTAAGTATGTAGACTGTCGACGTCATATCTACCTCTGGTGTTACGTCCCGCCCTAATTTTCAAATAATTTTCTTGGGAAATACGGCTTTTGAACTAATAGCCAGACAAGGTTTTTTTAGTTACATGTTAGCGACTTTGTATTGTTGTCCCACTCTATCGCAAAGATGGAATGCACCTCCAAAAATGGTATGTCGACCACCATGGTGGACATTGTATGAAATTACCATTTCAACTCATCTTTTTACTTTTGGCTACCTTCCATTCTGAACGTAAACTCTTATCCAGCACATTTTACTTTGAGTAATAATTTTTTGCGGTGTAAACCCTGCTTAAATTTGATTTCCAGCTACTCTTTTGCCTGTCTCATATGCAGTAATCACGGCGAAACATTTACAAATAAAATATCCTGGTCGTTGTTCCTCTTTGAATTTAGGTCAGGAGATCCACGTTGTCCTATGTAGCCCACCAAGAGCGGCATACCGTAAAGGATATCCTAGCAGGCCCATTACCCTTCTGTTCTGTGTTTGGGTGAAATATGTGTTCCAAACGAAGTCTCTCTACAAAATTCTTCTTCTTTTTTCTCCTGTTCCGCATAATTTTCTTTCTCGCCAACATAATGACTAATTCCCTAACACCTCCAATGCTCATAACAGAAGAACCGCAATTCGTTCGATTTCGAGTATTGTTGATTTGTGAAATAAGCGGTGCTGGACTAGACGTACATTAAAATACGTAATTATTTGATTTATGTAGAGTGCTACAGCAAGATTAGTAATCTGGACGAGATCTTTGAGAAATTCGTCAATCTCAAGTCGTCAAAAAATTAGCCAGCTTTGGAAACTCTAACAGCCGTTGCCGTCGATGTGTTCGGCAGTTCTTACTACAGAAATGTAGGGTTCAGGTATTTTCTTTCATTATCATCTTGCGTAATGCGTAAATGGCCAAGGTAAGACATCCTAATCGAAAGGTCATTCTGCAGCTTTATTTACCCAATTCATTGTAGGAGGACTGTCTAGTTCTGTCTCCTTTATTTTTGAGAGCGCTTGTCGTTCAGCTCGGCAAAATGAAACCTTTGCGTAAGCTGCATTAATCTTAGAGGCAGGCCTTCCGTGAAAGCGAAAAACCGCTGCCGTCAATCAAACGCTTAACCAACATCGCTGTCTTGAGAAACTGGTTCTATTTCCGACCAACACAGCGCCCTATTCTGAATCATTGAAACTAGAATGAATGCCCATGGCTTGCTTGCCATGGTCTTATTCCACGGAAATTCTCTCGATTCCGTTGCTTTTTTTCATGCATCCCCTCTTCCACTTTCGCCTTGTTTCATAATTTGGAGTTCCAGCCATGTTCTTTTCAGTCAACACACATTTGATTACTCTTGTGACGCCTCAGCAATTGTTAGTGTCCTTCAATGACAGCCACTCGCGTGTTTTAGATGTGACGTCCATTTTAATGCAGCAAAGCACGCATTTTGCAAGATTGTGAACCCCACATTATTGAACTGTTCATGCTCCAAAGCATGTAGCGATGGTTGTACGTTAACCTCTTCTTATTTTTCAGCGTTTGACCCACAAGTGTAAGCGGATCTGCTTTCATCGCGCATATTGACAATTTCCCCGATTCAGTGCTTAGTAGTGATGGAGGCCAACTAATTTCAGGTCCTCATGCAACTTGTCAAACCAGCGCTACTGGGCATCCTTCAGGCCGTTTTCCGGGCTGGGCAGGGGGTCCTACGGGCACTGTTGTCATTGGCGTGAAAAACGTGCCCGTACCATTGAAGTCGAGCTTCGCGCATCTTACCAGTGATTGGGAGCCACCGATCTAACGTTCAACTCTTTAGTGGTCGACCGAGTACTCAGCACGAGGTCGCGACCACACTTGAGTAGGATCTTCCGGGTATTTCTCTGGTATCTTCTTGTCGCACAGAATGCCAGTCATCGAGTGCCATTTGGATCATGTCGCACTGAGTTGACTTCAAAAGCAAAGCTGCCGTCAGGACGAAATTGTCGATCCAGATGCTTAACGCATTAGTGGTGATTAGCACAGTGATGGTTGCATGTTAACCGATGTTGTATTTGAGAAACAAGTAGGGAATTCTGGATTTTGGCACCTCCTTGCTCGAGTTCGAAATTGCGCTGAAAGGTTTGCGACTCTTGGGTGAGCCCTTACAAATTTACAAGCTCTGGCCATACCAAAGCGAGGTCTTCGATTTATTTTCTAGAATGCATTACTCTACTCTCAATGCTATTCTATGTAACAACGACGATTTACCACAAAGGGAAGCAAGCTTTACACGTGGTATGGAAAAGGCCAAGGAATGTATCACAATCACGCATGCGTTAACATTTACAACACATAATGCTATCCGCGCCGTTGTGTATCATCTGTAAAACCTGAAGTCAACAGCCGTGACGAAAGTGCCTGCTTCAACCTTATCAACAGAGTAGAGCGGTATCATCCACACCGAGAGTACCACCACACATAGGCCAGGATAGTCGCCCGATGGTAGTTTGCCAACGAAAATTAATGGGTTGGGTTAGTGAATTCGGAGAAAAGCGCCATGTTTTGGAGGGGAGCTTATGTGAGATAGGGGAGAGATTGTTGTTTGGGGAGAAACTCAAAATGCCTGGAATTCGCCGTTTCGACAGTAGCATAAACTGTGCTAGGGATGCTATGGAATCGTCGTGATGATGGAGGAGGTCGTACACTGGTGTGCAAAACTGAAGGACGAGGAGGATAAGGTGAATAAAACTATTAACAATCGGGCATGGGGTGGACGAAACTGCAGCGGACTGCTAAAAAGCCTTGGCGTCATGAACATGAAGTGAGCCGCATATAGACAGCGTCGGCCTTCAGTCTAGCCGAAAAGGTAGTGGCCACCAAGACGAGACGAGGTTTGGATGGGACGGCAACAAGGGGGAGGTGTACATGGCAGAAGCCAAGTTACTGTTGGAATGTATGTGGTGCTCTTGATTACAGCAAGTCTCAGAGACAAACGAGGGTGACTTCACGCGAGGAAGAATCCTCGGGAAACTGGAAGAAGGAAGATTTGTAACGAGTGTGGTCCAGGAGTTTGATGTTGCTCACACCATTGTTTTGTGCGCATAAGGGCAATATGGACTGCAGCCGCTGCTGCCCCTAGAAGAGTAGGTGGTGGATCACGAATAACTTCGTATAGCATACATTATACGAACGTTTTGCAACAGGCAAGAGCTGATCTACGTCAGTTACAGATTGCATTTGCAAAAACATTTGTCAGGATTGTAAGGCACGTAATCTCAGGCTGAACGGTGGTACAGTGACCGTGCAGGTATGGTTTGTCTGACCGACTAGGCGTATATGGTGTCCCTTCGAAACACACCATCGGCGGGAAACTGCTGGGTGTATCTGGATACTTCGTCGCTTAGGTGCCGGGACATTAGCGAAGGACCACTGATTTGGATGATCGCGTGTTCTTCTCAGTTAAGATCAAATTGGATGTAAGTAGTGATTTTGGACTTACCCGCATGTGGCGAGAATAGGATCACGTAATGCACCCAGGACCATCGTTCAACATGATTGTTTTGATAGTCCATTCGATATGGTGTGGGGAGGCATAAAGTTGCAAGGGCGTACCAATCTCCCAACTCCTGATCGCGGAATGCTTTCTGATCGACGTTATTGTGACGCTGTACTCCTCACTTATGTGCATCTTTTCAAGGGTGCCTTTGACCTCAACTTCAATCGTATGGAGGACAAGGTGCGAGAGCATCGAGCAGCCTAGGTGGAAAACTCTTGGAAAGCGAGGATTTCGGTGGAGCCTGCCCGCTTCCCCCAGTCAAATCCTATGGAGCACGTGTGGCGTGCATTCAGGAGAGCTATTGTAGCGCATCCCCATGCGCCAACAACTGTCCAGCAGTTGTCAATCGCGGTCTTCAAGGAATGGATCGCTTCTCCACAAGAACTCTTAACCAACCTTGTGGCCAGTATTGGAGCACGTAGCAGAGCATGCTTTGCAGTCCGTAGTGTTCATACACCCCATCAAGAACCAGCTCCTCTCTTTTGAATGTCTACCATGAGTTTGGTAGCCTCACCTATCGACCGCTTCAGACAGGGTATTTGCAGAAAAATGTCTTTTCCAATCGCCCCTTTGCGCTTTTCTGTTAGTAACTCTCTGCACTGTACCGCAACATTTACTTCTATATATGTGCCAAATTTGATCACCTAGGTTAAGCTAGCAACCAGATATCATGTGAAAGTTACTTCCGTCCTTAAGTTTTGCACACCAGTGTGTTTTGTCTCATTAACACATTGACGACAGCGCGAGTTTTGGTGTTTTTGGCCATGCGGGACCGACGCAATTACTGCATTTGTCGCGTATACATATCGCCGTACAGTCCAAGAATGCGCGTTTATTGAAACTCGAAAGAGAGCTAACTGAACAAAGTTGACAACTTGAAAGGGTAGTGGTTATTACATTATAAAAGCACAAACAAAGTGGCTCCTCCAGCAGGTTTCCATTTAGTAAACGCCTATTTAGGGAAACAAAATGGATGGAATTGAAGATTTTTTGAGGAGCGTCTTATACGTTTTTCTACTATAATAGTTGGAAACTTCATACAATTTGAAGGACTTCTCGCTCACAACATTTTGGCCAAACATTCAATGTCATTCACAATTTCATTATACTTCTTTCATAGGAGTTGGTGTAAGTTCCTGCTAAACTGGGAGTTCACGAGGTTTACAAAACGTTTGCTGAAAAAAATTGAAGCATTTTGTGGAACCCAAAGTTTGTAGTTATAATAATATCTAATCTATAAATTGAAAACAAAAAACCTTGGGGAAAGTTGAGCATTCACGAAATGAAATGATGAAAGGGGTGCGGAAAAAATTTATCCCGAACGCTCCGACATTGCTTGCGATGCGCGGGGTGTATGCTTCCCGCGCTTCGTCAAGGAGTTAATTTGGTCCCATTTTCGAAGTTTCTGATTATGTCACGGTTGACCCTGAATTGAAATAATGGGATACCCATGCTTCTGCACCACCAACCATTGGGCAAAAAATGAATTACGTGGTGAGCAAACCCAAGCCTCAGGCTTTAGGTTTCTGTGAGCCGTATGCTGAATGTGGAAGAGATGGAGTCCACCGACATCGAAAGGACTACTTCAGCTCGGTCGGTACGGTAGGAGAGTGATGACGAAATGGTGCAGCTAGATCTAGCAGCTTCGCCAAAAAAGCTGGTTTGTTTATCACAGAGGAGTAAGCCTTGAAGAGAGGACGGACGTGCGTTGAATGTTCCATTTTCCACTGGAGAGACACCAATGCTAAATGAAACTTCTTGACGACTGCCGTGCTTTTACTATAACTCTCCACCTAACCAACTATGGAGGGAAGTCAAAGGCATGGTGATTCAGGGGGCGGTACTATACTAGGTGCAGGTGTGAGTGAGCCAATAACAGGTATAAAATTCTGTTACTTGTGGATGCTTGTGACTTCAAAACGTGACGCGGGTATTCATGAATATTGTCAATGTCTACGAAATAAAGGAGGAATACGAGCTCGCGCACAGAGTCAGCCAAATAAAGGAAGGGTGTCGGCGAAGTGTTCCCTGACATTCAAGCACATGCTAAGCGTGGTATTTGGATAGAGTACTGAAAAGTGACCCTGTGGAAGTGTTCTGCTGCGTTCTCCATATGGTGCAGCAGCAGATCAACACCTTTGTCGACTGAATTCTTCACTATATCTCTGATTTCGTGAGCGACAGCTCCCCCTCCTTCGTAGGGTGCTTCGTAAGATGGGCGTGCGGCTGGACACGATTGGAAGTAGTCAGAAACAGGGTCAACCGTCTCTTGTTCTGATTTCGAAAAGTAGACGAACCCCCTGGAGAGGTCTCGATACGTTTCCACACCACCATCATCGGCCTTCAAAGTGCTCCCACCATGGAGTCCACCCTCACCCCTTGAACCCCACTCTCACCATCACGGCTATTTCTATAGTACTTGATTTGATTGTCGACACGCTCCACGGTCCAGCTTCGCCTAATAGAACAGCAAATCCACTACTTTTGTGACTTTTGGTGACTTTAATCTTTCCTTCGTTTCATTCGTAAGTCTCCTCCACAATCGTCAAAAACCTTCCAAACACGCCCCCTCTCACGCAGCCACGACCCCTTCGACTTTAAACTCCCTCCCCTCCAAGCAACTCAAATGGGTCTGACCCTCAAAGAAGTACGATTTACCGGTTGAGAACTGCGTGACGCACGGTTGACCCTGCTCAAAAGTGAGGATTTTGGTGCGGCCATTTAGTCCTCTATCTATGATGTGGGAGACGTCCGCGACGGATAGGTGCTATAATAAGGAAACCACAGCGAGAAAATTTCACACTAGTGAATTGACTCGCTGTCGAAAATAGGTGAAATGTTAACGTGGTTCGAACTCTATCGAGTTTGACTTGAAAGTTGCCTTTTCCGATTTGGAAAATTTGGAAAACTTCCGGTTGGTGAAGATCCACTTAAAATAAAATTGGTAGACAAATAAGGCAGCTATGTGATAGCAGAAATGTCAAAAGAGTGGTGATCACGGAGAGGCGCCACACATCCGACTCCCATTCGGATCACAAAGATATTGAATGGTGTGCTCAAAATTCAATCAATGTCCAAAATTGATAAGTTCACACGACACTCACCAATCTGATTTGCATTGAATTTGAAGAATGTTATGATCATCCCCAGGCATGTGTTTGTGGAAAACCTCCCAGGCATCTCACTGGAACCTTCAAGATTTTCCCTATAGTGCACAAGGTTGCATTTGTGGGAAAGCATGACCACTGGAAGAAAGGTACGCTTTTCCTGAACGCCTTTATGCTCACTTCGTAACAGCGGGGATTTCCCACGTACGAGGTAGTCTTGATTGCTACCAACATTAATTTCGAAAAATGCAATTTCGCCAATATTTTTGCAATCTGTCGTCCTTGAAGGACCTTGTGCACGTTCGAAAATGGAAAATGTACTTGTTGCCTTACTATCGGAGTCTGCACCAGTTTTGCTTCCTTTTTACGGCTAATCTTATTCCAGTCAAGTCAGCACTTTCAAAATATCTGTTTGCCAGTTTATTCAACTAATCATTATCTGAATGACCTTTCCGTTTCTACTTGGTTGCTCATTATCAACGTTCCTTCTTCAGCTTCACATGGAGGTTTCCATTTGTACTGAAAGATGGAGAACTTGTTCCCTGTTTCTTTTGTTTTTGTTTTTCCTCTCCTCTTGTCTGAGAAAAACATTATGTGCTTAATTGTCTACACAGGCTGCGACTGGTCACAATTACCTCTCCCTCATTAGCTTCCATTCATGTCGGAGATGAGTGGAAAAGGGTCATACCGAGAACCTTCTTTTTTGTGGGTTTGGTCAAACTCGCCGCGATGCTTGCCCTGCGCGGTCGCTCAAAATGAACCATTGTAAAAGAGCTCTCCATCCCTCCAGCTAGGCAAACCGATGCCAACCATGAACACCCCGTTTAGTCGATCCTTTTCCTGCATTTCTGGAACTTGAATGAGTGACGCATCTCACAAAGGGATTGAATGATAAGCGCGGCCCCTTTCTTCTTTTTCCGTTCAATATCTGCACTGCAAATCTTCAATATCTCCTGCCTGTAAGCCTATTTTTGACATATCCTAATTTTAACATATTGTATAATAAACGTGATAGTTCGATTCAGTTGAAGTGCTTCGGATTAGCCTGAATCACGGGAGAAGAATCCTCAACAGTGGTCATGTTCACCTTGAAGGGTGAAGAGAGTGAAGGGAGGATTGCGAGGGGAGGGGAGTGGAGTTCGTGTTTCGGATTTTGGGAGGTCGTAGATGGGGGCAGTAGGGATCAGAGGGGAGAAATGGGAGCGTGAAGCATAGAACGTGCTTGCAGAGCAGTCACATACCCCGGCCTTGACCCCGGAGGAGTTCTTTTAGGGTTGAGTCAGAGTGAGTCAGGTTGAACTATGGATATCAACCCTTTCGGCCCTGGCGGTGGCAATTGCCACCATCAAATTCAAATGTCTGCATTACCGCTGCAACAGCATATTTTTCTACCCCTGCTAGAGGTTGCTTCAGTCAACCTTCCCCTTCCTAATTATGCGCTGAACCTGCCATTTCATTGTGTTGCTGTTAGTATTACAAGTATTTGTGTACAAGTGCAACAATGAATCGGCGCTGGTCCCCGCAACCTGCCAAGTAAGTGTCACATTCCTAAAATACTTGCATATATTCAACTTCTTATCAAAAACGTTTTATATAATTTTGACTTGTTTTTGTTTGTTAACTGCTGTTTTTGGCCGCAGTTCGCCTTGCGAATGTTTCACAAGAATGCTGGGTTGTGAACAAAACTTTCGCCCCAGCGGGACTCGAACCCGCACCTCTCGCTTTCCGGCAAGTGCGCTTGTGCGAGTTAGACATAATGTTGTGCAAGATCATAAACTTTTTCGACATATCTAAGAAATTTGGAATTGTTTCGACATAAGCTAAAAACTAAGAAGGTGGCCAATTTTCAAAGCTTCCTAGTTTTAGCTTCCAAATTTCGCTATAATGATATTATGTGCTCACAAGTAATAAACAATAGCTAGAAGAAAAATTTTTCCACGCTGGAAAAATTCAAATCCGAAAGGGTTAATGACACTAGTGGCACCATCGACCAGGGGAGAACGCTTTGAAGTAAGTTTTATGGTTCACGCTCCTGCATCATCTCTCACCAGGTACCAATCGGCCTCATCTACGACTTCCCAGAAATAAAAACACGAGGTCTGAGGAAAGGGGGAGAGTTGATACCGTAGCCATTTTCTCCACGTGATGTCTGCCTTGCTATCTGTCGAGCTAAACAAACTGTAACGCTAAAGAGTAATTGTGTGAGTCAGCATTGATTTGTATCAACATCGCTAGAAGTGAAATGAATTTGTAGCAAGGTGAACAGTTTTTCTTCGACCACTGTACAAGTCATTAGAAATTGCGGAAAAAGGCACATGTGAACCGGTTTTGGAGAATCTTCTTTTATTGTGGGAAGGGCGTGCTTCACACGCAAATGATATTGACGACAGCGCCCAACGATGACTTCCTCCAACCATTTGAGTTAAGCAATTTCGTTCTAATTACACGTTTTTATATACCTTAGCCATAACTGCTTATCGCAAATTGATTTTTTAATCCGAATTACTTCCTAACCGTGATCTCCGTGATATATGTTCGTTCATGTGTTCAAATGACATTTTCACCTCTATAAGTTCAAATGTTGAATAAGATCTTGACACCGATAAGGCAACTCTTGATGCTGACGTCCGAGTGCAAGGGGTTAGAGCACAGTAATGCGGCCTCGAACGATTTGGCAGTTAGATTAATCGCTTAGATAGAAGTGTTAGGCGGGTGACGTCAAATGTGGGGTTACGGCAATAGCGGTCGATGTCGCTGCTTTAGTGGCAGTGCAGTTTGAGACCGATGTTAATTGATGAGGATAAGAGATTCGATTCAAATACATGTCGTATATCCCTTCTGTATGCCGGAGGTGGGCGTGTCTGAGGACCTCACCCCCACCTGCGGCAACAGAAAGGGCATGTATTTTAGACGAACCCGTTATTCTCATCGGTTAGGAAAGTAGAAGTCTTAAGGGATTTTCGGCGCTTTATTGGCGCTGTTGATAGAGTACCCTGTGCCGCGGAAGCGCACATTCGATTTTTCTTCGATCCTCTTTAACCTATCTTCTTAAGAAACTTTCCTTTCATGACCATCTTGCTATGGCGGGAGTTCGACCATCATATACAGCTGATGAATTTTTTCAAAGTTTGCGTAATGGTTAACATGATATGACCTCTGAATAACTGTCACGATAAGAAATTTGTTGGCTGCCCCTTCATTTTATTTCTATCCCTCTTTCTCTCAAGGATTTCAAGAAGTTACTACCGGGTCCTGATCACTCCTTGCTTATGCTCTTCTAGAAGCCGAAAGCTTAGTTGGAGGTATGCCCCAGGATCAAACTGGTGTGGTTCTTGTACACGATTAGAAATGTATTGCTGCGAATCCGGCCGGCTATAAAGAAAAAAGGGAAAGAATCAGTTGAAAACGCTCAGGCTTAAGTATAACCTTCGTGATCTGTGCGCTAAGGAGGAGTATAAAGGATAAAGGATAAAGCATTTGCCGTTGATCAATCCCTTTTTGGGATGCGGCACGCATTCTACTTCCATTTGTACATTCGTAGTGGCGTTTGAATGCGATGTGGCCTATACAATGACTTGCGGGGGCCAGCCGATGTTCAAGTCAGTGTTTTTATCCTCCCAGACAAGTCTGGTACCAATTAACCGACCCCGGAGGGATGGAAGGCTTGGTTGGCCCGGGCGACTCACGACCCAGGATTTGATCCCGGACCGCTCGCGTGGTGAGCGCGCCACTTGTCACTGCACCACTTTTCCGCCCCGGTGAGTAAGGGTGGGATATGAGCAGGGTCAACCCTGCGTTGCGCAAATTCCAAAATTTTTACGACCCCCTTCCTTTTCCTTTTCGGGGGGTATCGGTACGACCCCCCATATTAACTATCATGTCTTTCACATAATTTAATGCTCATCAATGCTCATCAATGATGGCAGTCACCAACATGGAGAAGTGGTGGACCGTGGTCAATCCGCGCGCTCTGTCTCGCTCAGAGGAGGAAATCGAGGCAAATGAAGTTTTATTCATTAAATAGAAGGAATTTCCAAATTTTTGCGTAAACCAATACATCATTTTAATCGTAAAGATTTCTACTTTCAGAAACCCACCAGGATTTTTTCGATCTCTCAACTTTCCTTACCTTATAATCTGAAAAACTAAACCTTGTAGCAATTACATTGCAATCCAAACCCCTCCATTCAGAAGGTTATATTTTCTTTCAGAAGCTGTTTCATGAAATCGGACACCAAAATTTTAAAAATATAAATAGTTTTCTTCCTGAGGAGTATTTGAAATGTTGTGGATGTTCATATTTCAAAAAATCGTCCCGTTGTTCCGTTTTCTGTGCACACGCGAGTTTTTGACATTCAAACATTCATAACTTTCTTCATAATCAACTTTTTGCAAATGTCTAAGGCTAATTAGAAACTAGAAGATTAGAGCTTTCGAATAAGTGCTAAAACTTCTTGAAATAATCACTCGCTCAAAAAATAGTCCCGTTGTTCCGTTTTATTCCACCTTGATTTTTTTCAAGCCATTTTCCTGGACCGCGACTATGCAGTCTTCAAAGGCCCATAACTTCCTTTGAAATTAATGTGATGAGAAGCGGTAAAGATTGTTGGAATCCACTCGAAGAGTACTTCATAACAACTGTGAAATTTCCCTGAAATTCTTTCTTCTGCCTCAATTTTCCTACGGCGTCTCTAGAACTCAATTCAGCAAATTCGCTACACTTTGTTTCGCTTAGATTTTATTTGAAAGCATCGAAACTCTCTTCAGAAAGTTTGTCTGCTTACGGCCGCTGACACAGGAGGCGTTTTTATGGGAAAACGCCTCGGGTATACGCCGTGCACCTATCTGTGGGCAGAGTTCGCACTCGCATTTTGAAAGTCTTCTGTTTTCCTGAAGAAGGTGTTAGTATCCTGATTGAGTTGTATTGTGCTGTTATATGGCACTCTTGTTTCACTTTCCCATGAACTGCTCTACACTTTGTTCTCCTCGGGATTTCAGGAATGTTTCATCATCGAAGACAGACCATGTTTTTGCACTACACTGTAACAAAGTTTTTGGCTATTGTCTATTGTACTCTTGATCTATGCCGCGGAGCAAAAGCGCCGTCCGGATAGCGTCGATTAAGGATAATAAGCTGATGGTGAGACTTATAGTGCTCTGCATGCTTTAATGCTCCCATGGAGCTCATGTCTGTGTGACTCTCCGACAGCGTGCAGAGCTCCTGGAGAACATTAGAGGCTGAAAGTGCACTCCCGGACACTGCACTTTTCAAGCCGTCTTGCAGCCCGTTTGTGGATACGACCCCCTCCCTTTTCGGTCGGCTGAATACGACCCCCTCGTTGTTCTTTGCGCAACGCAGGGTTGACCCTGGGGGACGAGTGTAGGCGAGAGAGCCGAAGGATGAGAAGGCCGCGGAAACAGTGATAAAAGAAAAATTGAGCTGCTGTTGCTGCTTGCTTTGCAAGTCCTAACGCTCTTGTGATTCCCGTGCACGGGAGTGCCACATCTGTGGGTATATCCTAGAGACCGAATTGAATCGTTCCTACGACTTCTACCTAGGTTGAGCCTTTAAGTACGC